AGTGGCCACTCAAGTAACTGCGGTTTGTAGGCCAATTTCCCATGCCCATATGTTCCTGTAACTAAATTTTGATGAGATATCTGTTATCCATCTCTGGGCAACAATTTCCCATGCCCATATGTTCCTGTTACTTGCCCCCAGCCAAATTTTCCCACAACAAGATATTGTGGTACCTGCTCTGCGGCTAAATTTTTCATAATGAAATGTCTCCTGTACCAGTATCCAACAGGTTAAGGGTCATTGAGAATGGGGAATAACAAAATACCAAACCAAGTACAGTACATGTTAGTAAAGTGCAAAATATGAGAGTAGACATATTTCTTATGATGTCCATGAGCTAATGAATATCTAGATTCACAAAAAGCATTTTTATTTTACAAATCTTAATTTTATAAGATAATGATCTTCAGGAATGGATGTTTTGCTTTCCCACAGTTTTTGTATGTATCCCTATAAACCAACCTAAAGTGAATTTTGGTATTCTAGGTATTCATAAATTTGCATAAAGGTTATGGGCATGCATACATAGATGAATACATACACAAAACACATGATAACCATTTTTGAGAAGACAGTAAATATGATTTTTTTTTCTTTTTTATGTCTATTGTTGGTAATACCCTGCTTGAATATCGAAGGAGTGGCTTAGTATACATTAGGAACCCACTGAAAGGTAAAAGGATTCAAGCATAAAGAAAATATAAAAGTGGAACTTTATGCTGTAAATCAGTGTGCTAGTTCTCTGGTATATTCTAGATAGTGTGCTATAAAATACAATTCAGGACCAACTCAGGCGGAAACACTTTAAATTGAAATAGATTGGTCTCATTAAAGATATGTAAATTCATCATGAACCACTAATCTCATAAAAGAGACTGGATCAAGCTTCTTTTGTGTAGGAAGTACAGCCTGATTGAAATATTGGATGTAACGAGAACAAATAGCAGTGAATGAATTACAAAGGACAGTGTATTTTGGTTAATAAGCAGAGCACATAGTTTTCAGAGACAAAATTACTTTTGCATTGAGTGGGTTGGAGTAGAAAGCCATGGTGTGGTCATATATCATTCAGTGTCAATTTAAGCGTTAAGCCTAAAGATCTAATGCAAGGGCTTTGTACCCCTGGCGACCCTCAAGTGGTTTGCTACTCCCCAACTTCAACCTGGAATACAAAGAATCCTCCACGCAATACGCCGTTATATGATACAAGGGGACTGCTTTCCAAGGAAGGGATTGAGAGCAGGAACCCCCATAGGCTCCATCCTAATTAACCCACTAACGACGGGTGTCCCACATAAGACACCCGAAAAAATAAACATTGCTGGGTGTCCCGCCAGTGTGATGCTGTATCGGGGCTTGTGCTCTGACGCAGCAGCAGGCCGCGGCTGGCAGCGCGGCAGGGTCTGGGGTAGCCCTGCCCGCCGATTTTGTAGCCACTTGGAATCTTTTATTTTCAGCTTCAAAATATACTGGCATTAATGGGTTAATACATGGAGGATTTTTTTGTGTTTTGGGGCAAGGATTGAGGTGCAGCACCCCAGAGCATTAGATATAATAATGACCCTTATCTCTTAGATATGCTGTACAGCTCATTTATCATATTTTACCCTGCAGTTTCATGGGTAATCTTCATGTCCTTCCCTACTTTTGAGATCAAGTCTGTGGGGTATGGAGGGGTTTTCCATGATATAATTCCTGCATACATGAGTAGTAGAGGGTGAGAAAAATCCATTCATATCAGTTTTAGGATGATCAGGTGTCGGAAGGTATTCTAAAGTTGAAGAATATGTTTTGTATTGTCAGAAATGTTCATCCCCATGGTAGCATGTATAACATACTTATAAGTGGCCAGGCCAGACACTATATGGAGGATGAAGGATGTTCATAAAAGCCTTAAATGCACTGAGCAAGAGTTGATGCAAGAATGTTGCATAACTGCCTTGTGCCTGCTGCAACTAGGCCAATTATACCCCGTGTCATTCATACGACACTTGCCACGATGTACAAAATTATGATTTTATGTGAAAAATTAAATTTTATACATATTTTTTTTACTGTAATTCAGATTTATATCTTTTTGCAGAAACTTGTCCAAACGACAGTGAGGTTCAGATTTGATGGCCAGCCTATCACGGAGAATGATACACCACAAGGCTTAGAGATGGAGGACGGAGACACCATAGAGGTGTTCCAGCAGCAGACTGGTGGTTTCTTCCTTTCACATCTTGTGCTGTTGTGACACTTCCATGCAGAAAGCTCTTGAGCTGGTCTTTAGCCCTCACTCCTACTGTCCTATGAAGAAAGCAGTGTGTCTTTTGCCTACAGGAATATCTAAAGCTCATTCACTATATATTATGTGATTTTTTGTACATTTCTTTTTCCTTTGTATTCTTATTTTTTTGAAATTTAACCTCTGGTTTATCTAAAAGGGTAGCATTTATCATTTATATATGACATATAAAGTAATTGATATACCTGGAGAAAGCTCAGGTGGACTTTATCAGATTCATCTCAGGTGATCATTTTTTTGTTAACAGTTAGATTTGTTGAAATGATCCAAATACTTTTATCTTCATTGGCATATTATAGATAATGTGATATATGAAGTCTGTTGTAGTATTTGGAAGTTTAAAGATGTCTTTTTCTGATTTTTTTTATACACTTCATCAACTCTAAACCTTTTTCTTAAGCAAAGCTTTTTATATCCATAGTAACTGATAGCATGTTTATAGATTGCATTTAATACTTTCATTTTGTATTATGATTTTTCTACAGCCCTTTCTTAATTCTTCTAGCTCATATTTCTTACATTCATAGTAAATGTAAGTCTTTTCCTTTTAGAGATATTTTTGCGATAAACTACCCAAATCTTTCCCAACCATTGCCACTATTTCTTACAATGTGGGATGGAGGAAGCAGTCTCACCAGCACTGAAATAGCAATAGCTTTTCATGAGTAAGTGCTGTGAGTGAGATGTGACTTAATGTTGCAGAGGACACACTATTACCTGTATTGGTGAAGTTTCATGTGTCAGTGAAGCAACAACATTAAACAACAAAGCCATTTCAGAGGACTGGTCTTGGCTTCTGAATGTACAGATTTCCGCTTATTATGTCTGCTATCAGATGCAGCTGATTTCTTATCTTTTTTTCTAATCCCCACTTTTATGTATTATTATTATTTTGTTTTTTTTTATATTTTCATGAAGCAAAAGAGCAAAGGATCTTTTTTTATCATCTGTTTAGCATCATGTTAAATAGACATGTAATGAGATAACTGGATGATGGTGCAAGCCTTTGAATTAGTCAGTTTTGTATACACTGAAATGTGTGACTTTCCACAAAATTGCAGCACAGATTATTACATTTATCTTTATGTTTTCATAAGGATATGTACCTGAAAATTAGAGCGATGCAAGAGTAATGTGTAGAAATATTGATGACCATGCTACAAAATGCATTATGATGCAACTTGACAAAAGTGAGTTGTAGAATGAGTCAGTCTAGATGCATTTCAGTCAGCCATCAAGTATTGAAGATCTACAAAGCTGAATATAGGATATTGTGCATTAAACTACACATATGTTGAACATTTAAAAAAAGCAAATATTTCATTTCCAAGCAAAAGTAATTTGTTTGAGTTGGTTCTCAAGGATAAGAACTTTCAAGTGAGATATGGGAAAACTTAATTTGATTTTTTTTTTTTTTTTTCAAATTATTATTAAGGTAGTTTTGGTGTACAGAATCCTCAGCTCAGGAATAAACCATTTATTTGGAAATGTAAATTTTAAGTGGAATGTAGACAAAGGTTACAAAAAAACAGAATTTGAAATGAGAGAATTGAATAGTTTCTGGTAATTGACTTTTTTGTAGAAAATCAATTACAGAAAATAAAATTTTGTACATATGCTTATACTTGTTGATGTGGATCATCTTTTCACTATTTTGTGTCCATAATATTCTGGCTGTTATGTTGAATATGGATAGGCAAACAAGATGTAGCATCACTAATCTCCATAATTATATGGATAAAATGTTTTGAACAGTATGTTATTAACACTGTCCAATAAGCATTTCATACTTGTGTTTGTGCTGTTTTTAATTTATAAATCCAAACTATTTTGTAATGAATAAAATCATGTTGCAAATCCATCAAAATGTTTAAGACTTACATAATTTTACATCTTTTAACATATACAAGAGTGTAGTAAACATGTGTACATACATGTGCACATTCAGAGGTACTCACACTCAGACATGAACACAGGCATGTACACACAGGCACATACACAAAGGCACATACACAAAAGCACGTGCACAAAGGCACACACACACACACACACAGGACACACACACAGACACAGACACACACAGACACACACACACAGCACACACACACACACACACACACACACACACACACACACACACACACACACACACACACACACACACACACAGACACACACACACCAGACACACACACACACAGACACACACACACAGACACACACACACAGACACACACACACAGACACACACACACAGACACAACACACACAGACACACACACACAGACACACACACACAGACACACACACACAGACACACACACACACACACACACACACACACACACACACACAACACACACACACACACACACACACACACACACACACACACACACACACACACACACACACACACACACACACACACACACACACACATATATATGCATATATATATATATATATATATAATATATATATATATATATATATATATATATATATTATATATTATATATATATATATATATATATATATATATATATATATATATATATATATATATATATATATATATATATTATACATATATATATATATAATATATATATATATATATATATATATATATATATATATATTATATATTATATATATATATAATATATATATATATATATATAATAATATATAATATATAATATA